AGAGTAGCCTGGCTGTTAGTACGTCATATGCTTCGTTGATCTGATTGGTTTATTTGGCCCGTCTATCACCAACATAGGCCAATCAGCTAACCAGTATTTTTGCCCCTTCGCAAAATTACTTCAACGGAAGGTTTCCAGATGGATATGCGGAGCAAATCCATCTGGCGGAGTCAGGTTATTTCGCATTAAAATTGAATCCCCAGATAGCCAGGCAAATATTAAGGCTCCTTTTTCCTTCTCTAGTTAGCTTACTGTGTTTTAACATAGTATACTGAACAGCTAAACCTTTCAACCCAAAAGATATACCATGACTGCGGGAAGTGGGGGTGCTGGGGGTGCTTTAGCACCCCCTAGTGTCGAGAGGGAGATTTTTGAAAAATGCACTAAAATTACAATTTATAAGTTTATAAACTTCTTTTGAATATTTTGCAAAATGATTTAGACTTGTCTTATTTTACTATTAAGCTACTATTAAAGAGGTATCCCACTCGCGGCAGCAGATTAGTAAATTTACATAGTCTAATGACAGAAATGAGGAGGAAATATGGCACAGAAATGCATTTTGTATTGTTTTGGAAAACCACAACCAGTGAAGAAGAACGCTAGTACCGCAACCATGACACGGAGAGCAGCCGGAGTGAGGAGACTGTCCGCCCGCCTCTGATGGCAATTGTACCAGCAGGCCCAGCCCCAGCACCCACAACCAAACCTAGCTTGATTGGATTAGACAAGCCTTTCCAGCCAACATCCAGTTTCCAATTTCCTGCACATTTTGTGGTAATGTAACGTTCTCACGTTCTGTGGCACCGGCTTGGTTTGCTAGTTGGCAGAGGCTGCATTATGTGGAAGAGACTGATTATATTTTGTGTTTCGTTTGTCTGAAAGCAGTCAGAGAAAAAGTCATACCTAGAGAAAAATTTAAGAAAGATAAGCCCTTTTGTGAATGCCAGCTTTTAAAATTGGTATAAAGCAGCCGAAAAATGTTTTATTGTGCGCATATATTCACCTGAGAACGATTTATGATTACTGCACCCTAATTGGTGCACTGAGGTGTATATGACAATAAAGTAGTGAATCTCAGTCAATTTATTTATTTTCATATATTGTATTTTAAATAGGCCTAAAGGCTCATTGGTTTTTGCACCTCCTGTTCAAAATTACTCATAGTGGCCCTGTATACATTGGAAAGAAGGAAGGTGCTTCATCAGCGAAAAGTGTACCTCATACTGTAGATCATGACTGAACAAGAGGTTTTCAAAGAAAGGTCCTATATTCCAAGAGGTTAAAGCTAGAGTAGAATTCGAGGTAGAAGTTCCAGTTATCAGAGAGTCCGTGACCAGAAGGTAGTTCCTACCTTTCTCTCCGTGGATCTCATATAATGAATAACTTGTTGACAGCATTTTCATATCAGGCCTGAATTTCTCTGAAAGAGTTTCAATGACTTCTTGAGCTGAAGAACTGCTGCAAACGCGTACACACTTTGTAGCCACTCTTCCCTCTGCGTTATCCTCAAGGTAGAATCGGATCACACCGTAGAATACCAGGTGCTGTTGGAACACAATTGACAGTTTTAATATAACGTTGTGAAGCTCAGAAAAAGATGAATATAAACTACAAATTAAAAGAATAAATGTCAAAACGTCGATCTTTTGTTCCACCTCTTACTTGGATGATCAGTCCCAAAAAATCCACCTTATCAGTCAAACATAATGTATCTGTCATATTTAATGTAATAACATTTAATCTCAGTGAAGATCCAGCTATTTTGTGAAGGCCTTGAGTTTTTTTTTTTTTTTTTTTATTAACCATACTGTAATGAATAGCATCCTAAAAGACTTAGAACATCCCTATCCTTAATGTGAAACATGGTAGAGGTAGCATCATGCTATGGGGATAATGGACACCCATCTAGAAAAGGTCAGAGTTTGGTGAAGAAATGGGTTGAGCTAAATATTGCATAACACCAGAAGAAAACATTTTGGTGTTTAGGTTGGCCTTTAAAGTACAACCAGATATCAAATCATGTGTCAGAGTGTCCTAGTCAAAGTCCAGAGCTAGATCCTACTGGAAACAGCACTGTCTATATGTGGCCTTTCAGTACAGTGAGACCAATAGCAGTTATAGACCAAATTTAACAAAGGGGCAGTTTTCTTCATGTAAGAAAACGGAAACAAAGAAAACAGGGAAAAAGTTCATAGTTTAGTGTTTTTAATTAGCTACAGAGCCAAGAACCGCTTAAAGCCTCAGTTTGCAAACCACTGACCAAGCAGACAAATATAGAGATCCATTCTTAATATGGCTAAATGAAAGTAAAATGTTAGCTTGAATGGACTGTTCAGTTAAGGATTTGGTGCCAACACATATGATTGTAAAAAAAATTATTTCCAGCTACGTTCAGGCGCCATAACAGAGGACCAGTTCTATAGAAACGCCAATGTGTGACCAAAAGTGTAGGGAGGAACTGAAAGCAGAACAAAACCTGAGATGCTACCTTGATACATAGATGGCAAATCAGAAATAAACATGCCAGTAAAATGATAGGAAAATATGGAGCTATTGATAAAAATGTATTAATATTACATTTATTGATAACCATCAAAATGTATTGTTTTTTTGAGTGGACAAAAGGCTTATTGCCTGACGTCCTGACTGACTGTCCTTCCAACATGTCTCACCTCATCAGGTTGGCTGATTTCAAACAAATCCAGTCTGTTGTTATTCCACTGTCTGATGACTTCTGCTAGTCTCTGTCGCTCGCTCGTCTCCGGCATCTTCTTAATTCTCAACGCAAAATCTTACTCAGAAAACTAGACTGTCAGAGGAGCAGCTCTGCTTCGGCGTCCTCCAACGTTGTTATCCACTTTGCTCTGTGGGAAGCAGTTAAAAATAATAGCATAATTTACCCCCCTTTCCCTCTGAGCCCCCTCAACCCTCCGCCCTCATTAAACAGGTCAATGGAGCTGAGCCGAAGGGAAACTAATTATAAACATGACAAAGACACAAGAACCTTATATGCATCGTTTTACTTTTTCTATGGTTTCAGTTTTTTAAGTGAAACAACTTTTCAATATGAAGATGCTTCAGTTTTACTTTTGTAACAACAAGCAGCTATCTGTGGCATTTTCACAGTTGCCACTTTTATTTATCCCCTTCAAGCTAAAATTAATCCTACTTTTCATGCATGCCAGTACATTTCTGCATAGTTTATATGATGCATTCCCATTCATTCGTTACCATGTATATGGGGCAGCTTTTGTTGCCTGCTTCAAAGTTTTCTGGGTAAACATTCAATAGAACAAAAGCCATAACTAAGGCAACCCTCTATTAAAGACACAGTGGCAAAAGGCTGAATAATGAGGGCTATTGTTGTCTGGATGGTGAACCAGACTTAAAACAAGGTACCTAGAAAAAAGTTCATACCCACCATAAAGTAGTAAAGTGCTTTTCTAAACACACTCCTGTGCATCCAACCATCTCCCTCCTTCTTTTTTTGTTATCAGAAGGGATAGATAATGTTATTAAAGGGAAGCAGGAAGATGTATTGAGCTAGATAGTAATTCTAGAAGAAAATAGAGGTGCGAACTTGGACAGCAGGTCATTTTCCAGCAGCCAAATATACATCCAGAGCTGCAATATAATAGTTCAGATCAGGAGTGTCCAAAGACAGCCATCGAGGGCTGTTGTCTTGCAGGTTTTAGATGTTTCCCTGCGGATTCACAAGCTGATGCCATTGGTCCTACTAGCATTGCAAAGCATGATGGGAACAGCTGCATGATTTTCCAGGTGCCTTATAAAACTCAAGAAAAGTAAAGGGAAAATGACGTATTAGACGGATTTCTATAGTCGGTTAATACAAAGTTTGAGGTTTTCGGTGGGAAAAGGTCTAATGTCCACAGCTTCTTAATGAACAGCCGTGCCCCGCCTCTCAGATCATTGTCTAATAAATACAATGAAGTTTTTAAAAGACAAAAGTTATTTAAAGCTCATAAAATCTGAATACTTTTGCAAGGCACTGCATGACTATTTTTAATTGTCAGGTTTATGGAACAGTTCTAATAAGAGAAAACAATGACAATGATGGATAAAACAGACTAGAGACTTGAGAGACGAGTATAGCAGTAAATACAAAGCAGCATCTTCCTAAAACATGCAGCTACATTTGCCCTAAAAGCTCTTAATTCAGCCAAACATATTTTCCATCATTTAAATTTTAGGGTCACAGTGTCTGGATTTCAATGCTAATGTCTCCTAGATTGATGTGCTCATGTTTCCCCTAATTTGCATTCATTTGGGAAGTAAATTTAATTATCTTAAATTCTCTAGAGACTATATCATTGACCTTTCATATTCAGGGGGATCTTGTCCCTGAACTTTGCATCAGTCGGGTATAAACAAGCTGAAACAGAATGTAAAAATAATTTTTCCAATCCTTCACCCCTGTCAGCCAACCATGATAAAAGCGCAGTGTTGCAAAAACAAGTTGCTAAAACTGAATTAGTTCTTTTGGGGCCTGTTGAGCATAATAGCTGACCTTAAAAAATATGTTTATGGATACAGAGATGCAAGGATACAGTGTAGATGATTGCTTTGAAGGTGCTTTATATACCATAGCTGCAGACAAGCAGGTTTGGACTTCTATGAAGCAGCCATAACTACGCAATGAACTCTGTGACATAACATCAGGGAAAAATGTCTTTGAACAGTCTGAAAACTGCACCTCCCTGAAATAATATGCACCTACCTGAATACATTTTTCTTTGGCTATACAGTTAAGATCCTGCTAGAAGGTCAACTTCCAACTCAATCTCCAGGACTGCCCTCTTTGTAGGTCCATCCCTCTTTCTATCAACTCATGGTGATGAATTTAAAGTTTGGCAAACTGCTAACAGAACTCCTTAAGATTTTTATAATGATGGCTCTTCTAGTGCTACTCTTTCAAAGAAAGGCCTGATAGAAAAATCATGCTAACACCATAATTGGGGATCTAAGAAGATCTTCCCTAGTTAAAATGATTAACCCTACTGAACAGAGCTCTGAAGGACGTTCGTTCACAAATCAAGCTCTAAGAACCTCACATAACAGCAGAATTGATCCATTCATCCATCCATTTTCTGTCACGCTTATCCCAAGTGGGGTCACAAGGGGTGCCTATCTCCAGCTGTCTACGGGCGAGAGGTGGGGTCCACCCTGGACAGATCGCAGGGCAACACAAAGACAAAAAGGACAAACAACCATTCACACACACACTGATTGATCACGCATTGATCTTAAAATAACATTATTGACACATTAAAAAAATATACATACAGTAGGTACACTCATCACACTTATAATTGTTCTGAAACATTGCAGCTCATTCAGAGTGTTAGGATTCCAGTTTGTGCTGGTTGTTTTTGTTTTCCTCTCTCCACCACCAGGTGGTGCCCTGTCCTCATTGGGCCTCCATGCACACCTGCGGCTCGTTGGGTCATTACCGAAGGAGTACTTGAGCAGCGGGCTGTCACCACCTCGACGCCAGAGTGTTTGCCACCTTAATATAAACCTTAATATTGTTTCTCTGAGTCTGATCTTGTTTTTTGTCTTTGCTCTTCAGCAGGAAGCCTTCCTGTGTAACTGGATAGCCTGGACCTTCTCCCCCTGGAAGGATTTACTGAGTTCATACTGAGCAGGGGAATATCTCCACATGATCCGTTCAAGTCCTCATCTGGAAAACCAAGTGACAGCCCACTCCCTTACTCCTCAGGGTCCAACGTATGTCTACCTGTCCACTCTCCAACGAGTTCCCTCTTCTCTGGATTAAACCCCCACAAACTGGATTCAAAGATTAACAAAGAGCCCCCCAAACGTGAGTTTCTCTCCAGCATATTCAAGCCTAAGTCATTTTTCCTACAGTCCCTGAACTGATCACTGTGATCCCCCTTCAGACTTTCCGGTTTTGGTTCACCAGTCTGCTGAGTTCCATCTTCTTCTTCAGTGTTTTCCTACATTCAATAAACCTGTTAAACTTTTCCCCTTGGCCTCTGAGTGGTTCTCTGCATGTGGGTCAGATCACTAAAACCAATTATGACACAAAGTACTTTTAATACTTGAAATATTTTTAAAAGCAAGAACTTTGTCACTTTTACTTAAGTATAAATGTGAGTACTTTTACTAGATTTGTTTGTTTATTTGCACTTGTAATTAAGTACCGTTTCTGAGTACTTTTACCTACACTGCTGAGAACAAAGAAGAGAAAGCTTTGCTAATCAGTAACATGTATAAATATATTTTATTTTTTAAACTCCCATAAATATACATTTTATTGCAAGAAAATCTCAGGTAGAAACATTTGACCACTGCAAACTTAGGAAACACAAATCTGCAGAAAAATCCAAACCACAAAATGAATGACTGTCTGTACAAAAGGAAAGAAAAATTGTCCTTCTTGTTGAGTCTTCAGTTCTTTTTTACATAATTTTGTTGTCTTCTTTTTTTATCAGATTTCTCTCTTCTCCTGTCAAGAAACCACACAATCCCAAATTAGTAATCAATCTGTCTGGAAAATGTGCATAAATCTGTATTTCTTAAAGTATTTTTTTCCTCTCCAGCATTATCGGTTATATTTGTTTTGCATCATTCTTTTTCTTTTATAAATCCATTTGTGTTTCACACTTTCACATGTAAATTAAACTAGATTTTAGATGCATTTTTCTGAGATGAAGCAGAAAAAGTATTCTCCTCTGCTCTGCGATACTTTCTTCCATTATTTTAAGAGTCATTGTCATTTTTTTTTAAGAAAGAAAGAAAATGTACCTCTTCAGATTTTCTACATCCTCTATGGTTTCTGGCAAGGAAACTCCACTCATTTCTGGCAACAATGTCACCAGAGCACTGTACAGCACTGACATGACACCTTAAACAGACATTGGAGAGTTTATATTTACAGTAAACATCAAGAAACATTTTTTATTCAATAAAATGTTGCTACACCATAGAGAATAAGAGGAAGCTCCTTCCAGATGTTGGCCAGTTTGTACAGCAGGAAGGGCGATGCAATCGCACCGATGTCACTGGCTGATGAACAGACGGACAGACCGACGTTCCTGGCAGAGAACAGGAAGAATATTTGATGGTATTTGATAAAAAAAAAAGGAAAACAACCAAAGCCATTGGCTAAAAAACACTGAGCACACTTAATGTGTGCTCAGTGACTCTTTTTAAAGCAATATACTTCCTGCACTGTGGATATCAGCACCGACGCTGATGAGTCTTTATTGATACCTTTTTTCAGTAAAGTAGCTCAAGTAGAAGCATAGTAAAAGTGTATAATAATGTCTTTGGCTAAAGAAATGCATCCATATCACCAAGTATAAAACAACGTGAATGTAAAGCACTCTGTCGCTGCACTTTGGAGCAATGGAGACTATTTAGAGTGAGGAATCCTATCACTATGTCCTGTAACACAACAGAAGTGTCTGGGTTTCTGGCTGAACAGTAAAAACAATTACTTGAAATATTGTGTCAAGTTTAAGCTAATGTGGAGAGGGGTAATTGTTTGCTGAAATCCAATCTTTTTCAAGTGATTATTCATGCAGCTAATCAAATTAGACAGTCATCTGATTGCTGTCAGAACAGTTTAGGACGTCAAAGCAACCCACACGCAAAGAGGGAAAATCTGGATGTCAAATAGCAGCCTACTGTTTACAAAAGTAATAATGGATGCAAAAGTCACTGAAAATACCATAGTCTTTGTGTTATTTGTGTAAATGACGGTATCTTTAAGACATCATAAAAAATTAGGGAAGGTAAGGAAAACCCTGGCCTTTAGCAGAGCAATCATCAGAACAGTCTGTGGATATAAGGTAGAAGCAACGGCAATGATGTTGAAGTTAGATATAATGCAGCATGACTGCAGATATCTGATTTATGAGTAAAAAAAGATAAGAAATTATAAAACCATGAAAAGGTCAGATATGAGTTGCTTATGTCAAAAAGGTCAGTGAGAGTAGCTTTAGTTTCAGTGAAATGCCTTAAAGGGGAACGCAGTTTTAGTTTGTGCCTTCAAGTCGTTGCCCATAGGAAGACGTTACTTAGCAAAAAGTAGTTTATTCCAATATACTAAAACTGCACTAATTTCATACTTAAAATCAGGCAGTGCACTTAGAGTTTACTTATTCTAAACTAGATTTCATATACTTAACAATAGTATAGTCAAGTGTACTTGACTATACTATTGTTTACTTTATTGTTTATTTAAGTATCCTTTAAGTATACTTTAGTAAACTTAAAAATGTCCCAATTTAGTTCGAAGAAGTATTACTTTAGTAATACTTCAAGTACACTAAACGTACATTGTTCGGTATACTTTCTAAACTTATACTTACACTTAAGTATTCTTAATAGAATTTACTTCAAGTATACTACTTTTTGATAACCTAACGGAATATCTTCATAACGGCTCCAAATGACACAAGAACCTGATGTAATAACGTAAAATCAAGGGCCCAATGTAAAAAAAAAAAACAGCGTTCCCCTTTAACATAACATATTTTCTTGGACTGGGTACGGTTCTATCATGTGGCTCTAAAAATAAGCTCCTGGGCGTGCTTTGGTGGTGCAGTGGGGAGGCCTTAGTCCTCAACGCGGGTGATCCAGGCTTGAATCCGACCAGTGGTCCTTTCCTGCATGTCTCTCCCTCTCTCATAACCGCTGTCCTGTCAGCCTACTCTCCATAAAACGAGCCACTACTGCCATAAGAACTCAAAAAATAAAAAAAATAAGCTCCATAAAAGAGAAAGCTGGTATTTTTGTTTGGAACGACTCTGTTCTTGATCACATTCTGAATAAATTCTGGGCACCAAATCCAAGCAAGATCTTCTCACTCTTGCAAGTGTCTGAAATAGAGTTTCCCCAAACACTCAACTATTCTCATTAAATAGTGCTAAACCTTGTGGAAAGCCTTGACAGAGATGCTATAGCGCTAGGTTGGCATCATGCTGAACGCTTACAATTAAGAATAAGATGTCACTTGAGTACCGATGCTTAGGACACCAGATGAATGAATACTTTTGGCAATACAGTGTATCTTGTACATTATATGAGCCAGATGGAATTGAAAAAAAAAAACACACCTCAGATGAGTCGGGTACATCTCTGTGTTTGCAAAGTTCACAGTCTCGAACCCAATGGCAACAGCAAGTCTGCCAATGATTGCAACAGACTTCCCCAACCAGAAGAAACCTGCAAGACAGAAAACACAGCAGAGTCCATATCCAAGAGCTTTCCTCACCCCTGCAAACAGCTGATAATTGTTCAGAAGTACCTACTGGGGGATATAAAAGGAACAAGAAGACAAGCGATTCCTGCTGTGAGGTTAGTAAAGGCCATTAGAGATCGTCGACCCACTCTGTCCACCAGCAGGTAGAAGATGAGCCCTGTGGGCAGCTCCACCACCGCAGAGATGAAGAAATCCAGTAAGAGATTTCCACCAGTGATCCCAAGCCGCAGGACCAGGCCTTGAAACACAACAGTGCTTGTGAACCTGCGTGAAAAGAGACTCGAGTAAACCAGCTTGGAGCACCCAATCAACAAAACTGATCTGTTCTATCCTGTAGCAATTTTGCGTTTTTGTTTATGAAAAAAAGTTCTCTTAACTGACTCACCAGGCATAGGTTAAAATCAGAGTGTTTTTTCTTATGTTTGGTGTCCGAAATAAATCCTTAAACGACACAGAAGGTGCTTCCTTCTTTTCCTCCCAAAGAAGTATCTGAAATATATTCCAGTAAGATTTTACCGTGACTGTTACTACAATAAACTGGATTAACAGTGCTTACAAATACCTCATGTAGATTTGGTGGCAAAACTCTATTGTTACATTTCGCAATGTTTGAAGCAACTTTTATGGCGTCTGTTTTTCTTCCTTGAGAAAACAGCCAGCGAGGTGATTCAGGGACAATCCTTGAATGACAAAAAGAAAACAGTTTTAATTACAGCATAAAAAATGTGAGCTCCTATGATGTTATTTTTGATTAAAAAATGGTATACCAGTAGTATGAGAGAAACAGGAAGCAGGGAAGACTCATAGCCAGCTGCAGGTTCCTCCAGGAGACCAAAAAGTAAGCCAGCCCCGGCAGTATGACCATACCCAAGGAGTAGAAAGTTCGACTAACCATGGACACAAATTTCCTGTTTTCTGCTCCAAAAAATTCCACCACTGTAAAATATGAGTTTAAGAGAACAAGTTTAAATATGCGCAGGCATAAAAACATACTGTTTTTGTTCATTCACACCAAACACGAATGCCGAGAGTGGAGTGAAAGACTTCCACGTTATCTCCATGTTAAAGGTATTAAAGGGGTCATAGAGTGATTATATACAGTAGGGTATTTTAGAAGGGGGCACTGATGCATATGCACAAATTAAAAAAATACACAAACAGCAGTTGGACATATCTTCCACCACACAATCCTCCTTCATGCCTTTAAGGTGCAATCAGGAGGGATTAAATGTGATGGACATATTTCAAGCGAGGTGATTGGTGCATATTGGGCGTTCACAGTTTGCCGGTACCAGTGTTTGGAAAGTTCTCTTTCTACGTGAACTAGTTCAAAGTTCAGTTCACACATTTTAAAATGAACTAGTTCAGTTCATAGTTCATAATTCAAAATATTGAACTAAGTTCACAGTTCCAAAAAATGAACTAGTTCATAGTTCTTTTTTTTTTCATATATTGCTCAATTACACCATAGCCTACTGTAGAACCACAGACAGCAATTATTTTATCAGTTGTAACTCTGAAACTGTGCGTCATATTTCATCTTTATATCCAGTTTTGAATCCTTATCCAACCAGGGTTTACATTAGCATTGAGGGGACAGCATTTCCCCATTGTTGCTTTAACGCTTTGTTGCTGTCCATTCACTTCACACTAGTAGCAGCTGCAGCTTTCACCCCTACAGTATATTCTCAAAAACATCAGGAAAAATGTGCTGCTTGAATGGTCTTTTTTATGAGGAATTATTAAAAGAAAAACAGGGAAGTAGTCTTTAAGGTGCAAATGTTTTTTTAATTTTTATATTTTTTTCCATTTGAAATTCCATTTCAGTACATATGCCGTTTCAGATTTGCTTTGGATGTTACTGAAGTGCGGATTTTTTTCCTGAAAGCCGGCGGGCAAAGTTTGCAGAGAAATGTAAGATTGTTGCCATCATCCTCACCGACCACCTGGTCATAAAACTGTTTTAAGTGATCATACTGCTGCTTTGTCGCCTCCACGGTCGCCTCCATGCTGCTGTGGCTTCCACGCTGCTGTAGGCTACGACACTGGTAGCTGGTGTTGCCAGATTGGGTGTTTTTCCCGCTACATATTAAGGCCTGTTTACGGTGTGATTTAGCCGGGGTTTCGCCTGGAGGGCTCTATAGAAATCTGGCAACCTATTGAACGGAGTTGAACTGAGAGAGCGTGCCGTTCACAGACACCAGAATGAACGAGTTCACAATAACGTTCATCAGGCAGTAATGCCGTACGTTCAGTTCACGTTCGTCCAAAATATGAACGAGTTCATGAACTTACTTTAAATGGACGAGTTCAGGCACAACACTGGCCGGTACGGTGGACATGCGGCTAGAGCACAGAGACATTTTGCAGTAGTTGAAAAATCTGAAATATGACAATTTGTTTTGCAATAACCAATCAGGGAAAGGATGTGGTTGTGATGACGATTTGGGGGAGCGACTGGGCAAGTTGACCAAGGTGTCTTAGCAAATTAGACGAGAGAGGAGCAGAATGTCAAGCGGCCGCTACATGCTTTCTGTGAATGTACTTTTTGATCAGTTTAAAGGGTGTTTAGATAATTTGAGCTGCTTTGTTTGTGTTGACTTCATACTTTTCCTGTTATTATCCTTATATCACTAAAGATAGATGATAAACATTCAGCACCTACCAAGCACATAGGTTGCTGTCCACGCCCCCTTTCCACAGAAACCTTGTAAAAACCGCATGAGAAGCAGTAGTGGGTACCATGGTGACAGACTGACCCCAACTCCAGCAATTCCTAGGCCAAGCATTGAGCCAATGACACATGGCTTTCTGCCAAACCTTCGGGGGGAAAAAAGGACATTTACTGACAACGTACGTATCCTTATAAGATAAAATGTAAAAACAAGGTTGGTATTATCATGAAGCATAACAAACCTGTCAGCAATATAGCTAGTCACAAAAGCTCCAATAAAAAATCCAAAAGCTAGGAACACCTGATTTAAGTCAGCAAGCCAGGCTTTTTCACAGACCAGTGAAAACTAGGAGAAGGAAGCAAATCACAATTATTATTAACATCTATGATTGTGTTTGCATTTAGGATATCATACTACATTGGTTTGCAAAAGATTTCCCTCAAAGTTTTAAATAATCTGTTTTTTATTATATAGACCAAAAACAGGGATTATTTGTGAAATGGAAGATAAATCATGCTTTTCAAAGTTTTAACAAAGAAATACCTAAAATGAAGTCACTACCTTTAGAACAAACTTTGCTTCAATTGCGACTGTAAAGGATGACTTTGGTTCATTGGGTAGATTAGTTGTGTTGAGGGAGAGCTTTGTTTAGGGACCTGGTCAAGACACTCAATAATTCGTCTATTGCATATTGATGCATGAATGTGTGCATGTTTGTTAATCTGGCTTGTTTATAAAGTCAAATTCATTCCATTTGCCAGCTTTTCCCCCATAGTCACGGTTAATTTGACAACCTCTAAATACAGCTCAGATTTCCTTCCAAATCTGACCTTTATTTAGCTCAATTAAGGCCAAAAACTGAAGCTGTGTTCTACTTTGACATGTGTATTTTTGTCAAAATCTTTTCAATATCTACAGTATATCCAAACCTCAAACCAGGCCTTTTTAGAGTTTGTCATTTTCCTTTAGAATTTGTGTCATTTCTTTTATTCTTGTTTTTTTTTTAATAAAAGAAAAATGAAAATTGCTCAGTGTTCTCTCTCACACCATTTATAACCCCTGGGTTTATCCCTCTGTTATCAGGTCCACCTGTGTTTCTCCAAGTCTTTTATCAGCCTTTTCTTTAGATTTGGCTTTTTATTCTACTAAACCAGCAGCAAACCGTTCCTTTCATACCTGGACCCTCTCTGCTGAGCTGAAATCAAGAACTCAACCCTCCGACAGTGATATGAGAAACAAGCACTCATGAACAGTTGCCAGTTCTAACTCATACGTTTTTAGCCACAACTAGAGCAATGGTGATAACTTTAAATATATTAAAGGAATAGTACACCCAAAACATGATTAGCCTTCATTTTCTACTCACCCCCATGCTGAACAACACTCTGGAGTACTTTTTTGATATCTCAAATGCATCTGGAGATCTGGGAGGCTTCTTGCTGTCTGCTGACATTCAAATAATGGAGGTCTATGGCGCCCGAGACAGAAAGGTCCATAAAAGTCCACAAAAAACGTGTCAATATTCCTCCATACTGCTCGTCCAATGTATTCCAAGTGTCCTGAGTGGGTAGCGTCCAGAATTTACTCGAAACGAAGTCATTTAGAATGTTTTTAGAGCATAAACAGTAGTGTATAGGATTTCCTAAAAGCGCGTTCACGAGTCTACGGAAACCGCGGCAGACCAAACCAGATGAAAGTGCGCATTCAGCGTCTGCTCTGCCGATAATGCAAGCGTAGAAGAAGAAATGTGCTGTTTACCTGTGCAAAGAAAGAAACAATGAAAGAAAAATGTCTGAGGACTTCAGTGTTGAGGAAGAGAATGAGTTCTTTGCCGAGCTGAATGCGCACTTTCATCTGGTTTGGTCTGCCGCGGTATCAGTAGACTCGTGAACGCGCTTTTAGGAAATCCTATACACTACTGTTTATGCTCTAAAAACATTCTAAATGACTTCGTTTCGAGTAAATTCTGGATGCTACCCACTCAGGACACTTGGAATACATTGGACGAGCAGTATGGAGGAATATTGACACGTTTTTTGTGGACTTTTATGGACCTTTCTGCCTCGGGCGCCATAGACCTCCATTATTTGAATGTCAGCAGACAGCAAGAAGCCTCCCAGATCTCCAGATGCATTTGAGATATCAAAAAAGTACTCCGGAGTGTTGTTCAGCATGGGGGTGAGCAGAAAATGAAGGCTAATCATGTTTTGGGTGTACTATTCCTTTAAAGGTAAAGTTTAGCTTAGGTAATCTGTAGAAAACTGACAGTACAATACAATCCCGTATCACCACAGAGCAGGCCACGTGAAAAGTTGCAAACTAAAGATTCAACAAAAAACTATGGCTGTGTCTGAATGTCCGCCATAACCACTATATAGTTCACTATTTAGTGATCACAACATTTTAGATGAGTGTCTGAACATTTAGTGGAGAAAAAAGTAGTGGACTCGAAATTTCCCCAGTAAAGTAGTGATCATCCATGGTCACTGGACAAGCAGATATATCCTATCAATGGATTCAGTGTATTCTCATTATGAGTTCGTATGAAATCGTACGAAAAGTTATGCACCGTAATTTCGTACGTTTTGGACGTTTTTTTCGTCGTATGCGCATGCGCATCTTACGCACCATTCAAGAACATAGAATTTTAAAAACAATTAGCCCTAACCCTAAACCTAAGATATAAAACAGCAAGCAACGTAGTTAGAGACATGAAGAAGTGATTATTGCACTGTTTTTCCAAATTTTACGTCCGTCTGCGGATCTGCTTTTTTTGTCTGTCTGCCTGCGCATGAGCACTGATCTGTTTTTTTTTGAGGAAAAACGTCCAAAACGTACGAAATAGTGAGCATAACTTTTCGTACGATTTCATACGAACTGATAATGAGAATATGTTGTTGGATTTGCAGTCACAGCGGCTAGCTGTCGCAACCTGACAGCGGTGACATACAACAAAGATGGCGCAGGCACCGTGCAGGGAGGCAGAGTGATGTGACTGATTGGGACCGAAAAGTAGTGATCATCTGTCCAAACGGTGAGTTACCTGAGTTCACTATAAAGTCCACTATATAGTCCCCACTCTTCACAGTGAGTGAGGGATCCAGGGGCGGACATTCGGACACAGCCTATGACAATTGTTGGCCTAATGCATCTCAATAATCCAGGTAAATAAATGAATGTTCGATTAAGTCATCTGGTCGGGTTCAGAAGACTTACTCAACCATTTTTTAGTTATGACAATCCAAATGTGTCACTGTGACCCTTAGCTTATAGCAATATCCTGCCTTTTTATTTTTAGTCCATCTATTATTAAACTAAGCCAAGAGTCTTAAGCTTTGTTTATGCTTGACACATCTTTCAGGTCTGTAGTGCTGCACGGCCAAATTACATTGTTTTACATCATCCATGCCCCTCTGGGTGGACCAATTTTTTCATATCAAGCATCTAATAAAAATGTGTAACATTTACATGCAGAAAACATTGCAGACCAGCAAAGAGCTTCTACTCCATTTTGCAGATATAAACATACTTAAACATGTCATGAATTAGCCCATAAATATCACCGCTATCAACAGATTGCAAACAACTCTGGGAAACAAATTACTGTCACTCTTGGATTACATCAGAAGGCGTTAAAAGGATTTAATCCAATGTTTTTTTATTTTTTACAGGAAGTGGTGTATGCTTGCCGTCTGTTTAGCACGATGTTTGGTACAGCAGAGAAAAGCCGAATGGAATATAGATGCTACAAGGTTTTTTCCACCCAATTCACTGCATTTCAGCTCTGTGTGAAACAGAAGCATCAAGCAACAACCAAGCTTTAAATATTTTCCTGTTCAACTTCGGTCCAAACATTTCTTCCATCTTCCATTTTATAGCTCTGCAGGTTCTATCAGAACCTGCAGAGCTATAAAATGAGTTTAACTTTTCCTTTAAAATGCATTTTACTCAAAAAAAGTAATAGGATATGCATGTTTGTTTTAACATAATGAAAATAATCAAATCAAGTTTGTATCCTTGAGATGGGAATTTTGGTATCCTGAATGTTCTTTCACCAACAGTTGCTCCATCAGGTCTGTCTCCAAAGAATCTGAAGCAGGTAAGGAAAACATCCTTTGGCAGCAGATAGAAATTTGCAGTCAGGACAAATCTCCAATCAAAATATGACCCAATATTATAGCAGTTAAGAATTTTCAGAAGGGGAATCAGAATATTCTCAAGTAAACAAAATTTGCCCGGGGTTAGCAGACCAAAGTAGCTGATTTGTTTATCTTTTTTTTCCCCAGATAGGAAATCACTGTCAGATGAAAAATTTCAGACTGAATTTTCCAATTTAAGCTCATTTAATTTTGTTTTAACAGAAATTAGCTTTCCTCTGAGCTTTTCTTTGTCTAACTTTGAGATTTCCTTTTAAAAAAATGTTTTATTAATCATTATTTACTGCCAATTAGTTTGTTATTGAGAAATCGAACATACAGAAGAATCTGATCACTGAGAGCTGCAATAAACCGTAATTTCCATGATCCTGCATTCATCCTTCTTGAACTTGGGTTTTCCATAGCAACTCATGACAGGCTTTCTAATTGCCAGGCAACTTTTCTTTGTAGCCGCTTCATATTTACTCTACAGTCAAACGATGGTTAAATATTGCCATCGAGAATTTGAATGCATATGGTTCTATGAACCCTGACAACTTCTCCTTGACTCAGCTGTATGTTTTTGGGTCTTCATTTCACTTTTTATTCACTAGTTTACTTTTAAATCTTCTTTAGCCTTTACAAAACACTTGGATTTATATTGATAAATCCCACAAAAGTTGACTCTACTATCCTTATGACTTCTGGAGGCTCATGCAATGGATTTTACCAAAGTAAAGGGAATAAATAGTAACAGAGGTTTGTGTTAAAATGCTGAAGGAAGATACATACATATGCAAAGCAATGCAGTTTAGTGAAAGAGAAAAGATATGCTTGCTGACTGAAAGGCAAAGATTAGGATTAACTATTAAAGAAACATCTCCATCTATGTATAATAAATGCTGAAGACAATACTTTAGGCTTTCCCGGGAAGATCTAATGGCAACTATGTTTAATTTATTTTTAGCTGAAGGTCAGCTTGGTTATGGGTTTCTAAGTATGAAGAACCTTTAAAAACCTACACCAACAATGAATGTTCTTAAGACATAAGCTTTAGTCATTCCTACTGCTACGTAAAGGTCTCCAAGTTTAGGTTTGTAAACCATTTTGTTAACTGATGGAGTTGAAATGTACCAACCTCAGAGACAGTAGTTTTGTAACTCTTATCAAATATCCATCTCCCGTCACACGGCATCGTCTGGGATCCATTTAAAGACAGCTCCCACTCAAAATCATCACATTTGTTGAGGAAGCTGCTCAAGTTCACAGCAAATCTTTGGCAGCGGCAGAAGGATCCAGTCTTTTCACAGTGGGGGACGGTAACTTCTCGCACCTTAACCTCTGTCCAGCCACACTCCTCCAGAAGCTGCTCAGATCCAGGAGTCCAACACCAGTGATCAGGAGTGTGCCCCAGGAAGACAACTCCAACAAACACAAAAGCAAAAAGTATGACTGGGAATGAACAAAGTATGACTATCTTCTTCTGGAAAGGTCCAAAGTCTCCTATGAGCTCCATGAGTCGGTCCACATTTGCCATTCTTGCTGGTTATCCTGTGTAGTATGAACAGGGTCTGTTAGATCTGCTGCACTTTGATAACGTCAGACTACAAACAGACTAAAGAGGAAAAACAGAACCTTACTCCTGTTACACTGTATGGAGATTAAAACTGAAGAAAAACTAAATATTTCACTCTATGGAAAGGAATAACCAAATATAAAGTTTATAGCTACAACTCTCAACAACCTAAACCATCTGGTTAAAGGTGTTGAATTCTTACCCTGTAATGTCCAAAACAAAAGGACTGCACAATATAAAGTAATATCCAATACATAAGAATATTATTAAAAAGCTATTTTATTTGAGTAGCTGCATATTTAGGTAAAATGTTTCATAGAAATCATCTTCCAAAGATTGATTTTTCTCTAAATTAGGATTTACTGCTTAAAACTAATCAAAACACAATATTGAGAAATGAAAATTACGCCAGAAATGTTTGAAACATAAATGTGTGTTTAACAAAAAATATGAGGAACCAGTATGAGACGTGTTTAAGCATATTTCTCTTCCTTTTTTTTTTAACTCATCATGGATCTTAATGTTTGCATTACAAAACATATTTTGAGAATATGAAGGCAGCAGAAAAAAAGTTAAAAGTAAAAGAATGTAAGCAGGTAGAGAGGCAGAAAAGTGCCTCAGCAGGCAGACAGGCATTGCTTTCAATAATTGAAAATTCATAACTCATGTCTTGTGACTCACTGACACAAAATAAATGTCATTATTTCAGATTTGAAAGATGAGACACACGTTTTCTGTCTAATTATAATGCATTTTCAATTTTAAAGATTCTTAATCAACATAACATTTTTTTTGGTTTTCTTTTCAAAAGCTTCAAAAAAGAAAAAGAAATCATTATACTAGACTGGACAAATTGTCAGGATTCCTGTCTGTGTGTTT